TTCCTTTCTACCTTTCCCGCCTCCTCCTTAATGATGTTTTTTCTTTCTTTTTATCTCAAAATTACTTCTCGTGTATTACCAACATTTTAAGACAACATTGAACGGATATGAGATAAGAAGTGGATAAGCAAAATTTTTATAATTTTTTGTTTGTAGTATTTGATGCAAGATGCTTATCTGTGCAATTCTTGAGTTTGTCTCAACTAGATCTGTCTAGGATTGAAGTCTGGATTACACGCATATATAGTAATTTTTTTTTCTTTTTGAAGTTAAATATAGCCTTTGAAAGTTTAAAGTTCTCGTCTATAGTGCATTATACTGTGGACCTTTCTGTCGTTTTCTTATCCGCTGTGTTCATCAACTTTAGCGGGCACGTTGTAGTAGGAGTGTGACTCATCATGCTTGTCCAAGTCACAATATGGTACATCCTTCGTCATGATCACNATTTTTTTTTCTTTTTGAAGTTAAATATAGCCTTTTAAAGTTTAAAGTTCTCGTCTATAGTGCATTATCCCGTTGGCCTTTCTGTCGCTTTCTTATCCGCTGTGTTCATCAGCTTTAGCGGGCACGTTGTAGTAGGAGTGTGACTCATCATGCTTGTCCAAGTCACAATATGGTACATCCTTTGTCATGATAACCTCCAGTCGGTCAATCAACTCCGAGAAACTGGGACGAGAGGATGGATCTTCATTCCAGCACTCAGACATCAGTTCATATCTATCATGGATAGAAGATGACAAAAAGTTAAACAGCTGCATTGCGGAACAAACCCGATCCATCTACAATATTTGTCAAAGCCAACTTGAAATACATTACAACACTAAATCAGTTTCTCGACATTGTATAGGTGCGTGGAGGGCATGCAAGATGCGCAAAAATGAAATGTTTCAATAATGATTATCAAGCTTGCAGCCTCTTGATCAAAAATAATGTGAAATACACATGTAGTAATATGATGTACAACAACCTGAACCAATGCCGTCTCAAAATCCAAAGAAGAGTTACTTGATGATTGGTTATTTTAATTACTGGNAAGATGGTTATCTGCGCAATTCTTGAGTTTGTCTCAACTAGATCTGTCTAGGATTGAAGTCTGGATTACATGTATACATAGTCATTTTGTTTTCTTTTTGAAGTTAAATATAGCCTTTTAAAGGTTAAAGTTCTCGTCTATGGTGCATTATATTGTGGGCCTTTCTGTCGTTTTCTTATCCGCTGTGTTCATCAGCTTTAGCGGGCACGTTGTAGTAGGAGTGTGATTCATCATGCTTGTCCAAGTCACAATATGGTACATCCTTCGTCATGATCACCTCCAGTCGGTCCATCAACTCAGAGAAACTGGGACGAGAGGATGGATCGTCATTCCAGCACTCGGACATCAATTCATATCTATCATGGATAGATGATGACAAAAAGTTAAACAGCTGCATTGCGGAACAAACCTGATCAATCTACAACATTTGTCAAAGCCAACTTGAAATACATTACGACGCTAAATCAGTTTCTCGACATTGTATAGGTGCGTGCAGGGCAAGATGCGCAAAAACGAAATGTTTCAATAATGATTATCAAACTTGCAGCCTCTTGATCAAAAATAATGTGAAATACACATGTAGTAATATGATGTACAACAAGCTGAACCAATGCCGTCTCAAAATCTAAAGAAGAGTTACTTGATGATTGGTTATTTTAATTACTGGAGGGTTATCCCATGGCTGAGCCAATTATTTTCACACAATAATAAAGTTATTATTACTATTACAATAACTCCTATTTTTTAAGAGCCCCTCTAGACAGCAATTCTATGCTCTTATACGACAACAACAGATTGCAATGGCCAGGGTTTAAAATAAATCTTCTGTAAATTTGGATGGAGATAGTTCATATTACAGATCCTTTGTATATATTTAATTTAAGCCACTGTATGTCCATAACATTGGTTGTTCGCATATCGCGAAGTGTCCGCAGTTTAAAAACAACAATGTTCCTCTACGGTATTCGTGGTCTTCATGAATGGCTGTTCTCTACTCTTAGTAGCAGCATTACCAGTTGTTTTTATACGATATAAATATATTCATGCGAGCCACAAGCATTTCAATTTGTAAGTATTGGATAATTGCTTGTTTTCAAGTATCAGCCCTATTTCGAAAGAGGGACAACTGATCTCAACGCAATTTAGTTACTTACACTTCATCACAACACATGTCAGGCCTTTCCATGCGATAACCAGTCTTCAAAAGTTGACACAGCTCTCGATTGGTTAACGTGGGATACGGCACACCTCCTGAAATTCATCCAAAGAAAAATAAGTCATAAGAAAGTGTCACGTGAGGAAAACTGAAATGAATTCTCGCCTTAACATAAGAAAGTAATGACTAATTTCGGAAAAAATAAAGAAACAAGAATGTAATGGAAATAGAAAAAAATATTTTTTTAACTTACCCATGGTGGCCATTTCCCAAAGAAGTATTCCAAAGGACCAGCTATATGCAAATAAAATAATAAAAAAAAAATCAAGAAACGCTGTTTTGTAATTACTGTACATGTACTCAACACAATTAAGATTTTAAGTCTTTCTCTTTTTGGGCCATGTAATTATAATGACAAGCCGCCCAC